ATTGGTGTTGATTTGTACAGGAGGACAGGACTAAAATATTATATAGCAATAATAATCAACAAGACAGAATATGTAAAGTTATAAGACAATAAGTGTGCGAGTCGAAGAAAATTTTCACAATGTTAAAGAAATTGCAAAAGAAATATGAACAGAAATCTAAAAAGCATATATCATTGGAAAGAAACATTTAAAAGAAATCAGAAAAGCCTAAAATGACTAATGCTGAATGATGCAGATTGTATAGAGAGTGTAATAAAAACCGAGCGTGTCAACTCTGACACGAATATTTCGAGTGTGCTGCCACCTGAACTGATAGATATCGACTTGGAATGTGATAATCACCAAGACTTTATTCGTTTGCATCTTATGCTTCCTCTAATAACACAAAGATGGATTTATTTCTTAAACAATTGCAATTGTGTCCCATACACAATCCTCCCAATTTTTTTGACCTGCACAACATTTGGTTAACTCATTGCTGGCAGTTAATGCTGTGAGGCAGAAGCAAAGAACTGTTAGTTGGCTTAAATTTTGCTTTATTTTTTAATTTAATTTTTGATAAATAAATAAATATTGTGTACAGTGCATTTTGGAACAAATGGCAGACCTCATGCAATCTCTATTTTTTATTCATTGTATTCTTCACTGCTGGCCATATACAGTATGTGGAAATAATAATCCTGTCAATTTTGACAGATTGATGATCTGTGATATGTCTTTTCTCTAACTGAAAATTTTCATCTTCATATGGCCTGCGGAATTTTAGAAGTATACCAAATATTACCATACTTAAAAATTGGATTTTCAAAAATGTCATCGACGACAACCTGCTTTCCTTCCAAAACTGTCATTCCCACTAAGTTTTGGGGAGGGATAGGAAGAAATGTAACAACCTTGAATGGGTCTGTGCTGGACCATTTTTCTATTCAAATTATTTTGAATTTACTGCCTCCTTGCTTTAATAAAATTTTATTTTACTACACAAATCTTTTTCTTATTTAAATAAAATTTACAAATTAATTTAAATTAAATTATGAAATTTTTTATATGATGTAGAAATGACATAGCTAATTACATAATCAACTTTACACAGTTTTCATAAGTGAATAAAGTGTTTTTTAATAAAAAAAATTTATATAATTGAGTATAAAATGGGATTAAATAAACTTGGCTGAATATTATATAATGGAAAGGGGAAATACAGAAACGTTAATAAGTCAGGGAATAATGTCATAATTGGTCAGGGAATCACAGATGGAATTACCTGTATGGATCCTGATCATAATGAAGTATAAAATTGAAGTGAGCATAATAATGAAGTGAATGATGGCATCTAATAGTGAATTAAGTGAAGATAACAAACAGTTAATTTTGAAGCATCAAGAAGGAAAATTAGAAAGGATAAAAGCAAAAACATTACACTACTCTCAAGAGACAGTTTTAAAAATAATTTTAAAGTTTAAAACATTTGGAAGCATGAAAAATCAGCAAAGAGTTGGAAGACCAAGATCTAAAATCAAGAGATATGACTGTAATTTTATTAAAATTGTAAGGAAAACAGATTTTTGTCATCAAGTAGCATTAATTCAAAATGGGAAGAGAAAGAGGTTAAGCAATGGCTTAATTAAAGAACATAACATATAGCATTTAGAATGGCCTGCCAACAATCCAGATATATCTCCCATTGAAAATGTTTGGAATGTTTTGAAAAAAGTGATCTCTAAAAAACAGAGAGCTACAACTTTAGAAGAATTAAAGAAGATAGTCAAAGAATCATGGTCAGAAGTTGATCTAGAACTGAGTAGAAAACATTTCTACAATGTCACAAAGAATTAAGGCTTTAATTAGGACAAAAGGTGTTCTTACGAAATGTTAATCATCATCATTCCATACTTTTGGTTAATATTTTTTATGATTCCATACTTTTGTTCACCTCTTACTTTATTTAAAATGCTGTAATTTTATACAAACATCTCTAAACACAATATATAATATAGCTAAATACCAACCAATGCCAAAAATCTATCGGGCTAGTTTAAGGCTAATTACTAAATGAATTACGTAACCAATTTGGCTCTAGAGGTAAGCGTTAGGCGCCATCTCTTATTAACATTAATAATTATAAATTAATTAATTAATTTAAATAATTTAGAACCGCTGGGAGAACAAATCGGCACAGAGTGGGACTTGAACCCACAACTCCTGCTTACCATGCAGATGCATTGCCAATTACACTATCCAGACCTCCAGTCCAATCTCCTCTTCCAGTGTATAGAAGCTAACGTTATAACATTAGCTCCTATATGCTTCATAGAGATGACGCCTAATGCTTACCTCTAGTGTCAATTTGGTNGAGCCGTATGGGAAGTAGGACGTGGGCACTGAATGTGTCCCCAGCCGGCGTTGTAATAACCGTCGATGGTTAAGTAGTTAGATTATATACGCTGGAAGAGGAGATCGGATCGGAGGTCCGGGTAGCGTAACTGGCAACGCATCTGCACGGTAAGCAGGAGTTGTGGGTTCGAGTCCCGCTCCGGGCCGATTTTTTCTCCCAGCGGTTCTAAATTATTTAAATTAATTAATTAATTTATAATTATTAATGTTAATAAGAGATGGCGCCTAACGCTTACCTCTAGAGCCAAATTGGTTAGGTAATTCATTTAGTAATTAGCCTTAAACTAGCCCGATAGATTTTTGGCATTGGTTGGTATTTATGCTGTAATTTTGTAATTTATGTACATATCTTTACAAAATTTGGTTTGTAAATACTCAAATATGTCTGTTATGTTTGCCAATTTAAAAGTCCAATAAAATTTTTGTGAGTTTGAATATTTAAGAATTAAAATAATTTTTCTGCAGCAATTACAAAATATTCCATACTGTTGTTCAGGGTTAATACATTACATACAGTAAAGCTTCCCTTTATACAAATTCACTTTAACATGAAAAATTTTTAAATAATCAACTAGACACCAGATGTCCCCACAATGAATGAATTAAAAATTTTTAAGGATTAAATGCATTAAAGCAAATTAACTTTACAAATTTGGGAGTTCTACAAGGTATATATAATTAAATTAAATTTGTTCTATAATCTTATCTGCAGTTGTGTAGCAAACATATGTAGTGTAGCAGAATGTGACAGTGAAACCACAGTTTCAAGACATTGACATAAATACAACTGTACATTTAGCTTGAAATTACAATAAAATGTTTTTATAGATTATGATTCTTTTATTATTATTTTTTTTTTGTATTACATTCTATTTGTACTATATTTAACACATGATACAGTATTTCATGTACACTATTTCAAGATCTATCTCTTATGAGTTTGGGAAAGGCAAACAGTTTAACATGTTATAACATAATGTGCATTTTGACATATCAAAGATATTAAACCATCTTTGATATGTCAAAATGCACATAACCTTTTATTATAAACAAAATATTTGTATAACTATATCAATAGGAATAAAATTAAACTTTTGGAATTTGTAATTTAACATACTTCATTTTATGTATAAGGTTTATTTTTCTGCCACTTACAGGTACATATTATTTATTAAGTGTTGAAGTGGAGTTATGTTGTTTATGACACTACTCCATGGCTCTATTTATTCCCTGCTTTTGTAGAACTAATTACTTACATAAATATAAGGATTGGATTAATGTGTATATAGATAATGATGATTTAAAATTGGGGGAATGTATTATACGACTCAATTTCAGGATTTAATAAGGCAAAATAAAAATTATTACATTGTATATTTAAAGTATATTTTCTGATTGTAATTTTTTTAATTAAATNTATGTTGTTATTTTCAAATATTATTAGGTAAAAGTTAAGTTTGAACATTAGATGGCTTGAAAATATCTACCCTGAATAAAGCATTCAGAGTAAGTGTCTGTATTCCTGTCTCACAGGGAGTCTTAAGTGCGGCACGAAGGGCATATAAACACTAAGTAAACCACATAAAACACCTGACTAATGTATAAGAGTGGAGATCACCCGGTCCAAGTAGGACCTCGAATAAAGCATTCAGAGTGTGAGACTAATCGGGATAGGACGTTTAAGAGTTCTTGACTCTTCTACCTATTACTCGACTCGAGACCTTGAGGTCCGATCTTGCTTGTCGAAAGGATGGGTTCTTTTGAGCGGAAAGGTTTTAAAGTTAAGGATCGTTAGATCCTTATTTCACGTCAGGATCTGACACTAATCTATCAATTTCTTAGTGGATAGATATGTGTTAGATTGAGGACAAAATTATCATGAGCGATCTCGTCGAGAACTTTGGGTTCAGTATGGAGCATAAAATTAAACTTTTAAGTAAATTTTGGAATATGGTGATAATTGACCCTTTCAATCATTTTTAACTTTCATTTTAAATATTCTTATGAAAGAATATCATTTATTTTTATTAATATTAATAAATAAATTCTATTCATTTGTGTAGTTTTTCAAAATGATTTTATTTTGCATATTTAACTACCATTTATGGTTAAGAAATGAAAAGTATATATTTTATTGTTGTTACTTTTGTACATCAATTTATTCTTGTAGTCAAAAAGAAAACAGTGTCGTCTTCAAACTCCAAATACTAGTTTATTTTTTATTCTAAAATTGCAATGTCAAATTTTACAAATATCTTTCCAATGTTTTTAATTAACTGATACAACTCTTTGAATATTTTTTTTTATAAAGGAATACATTTAAAAATAACAAACTACAAATTTTTACTAATTCATATATAAAATTTGAAATTATTCAATAATGTTGAAATATATTCTACACTTCATAAAATATAAAATAACTGCATCATTTAAATTGTATGAAATTATTATGAAAGAAGTAAATTTAAATTGATTATTAAACAAGTTAGAGTTATTTTCAATATTTTACTTTGTGTTATTTGAGAAGTTTGTAATGTTGTTAAAAATAGTAGTTTTTAATCTTAAAATTAAATGTCATGAAAGTCATTTTAAGAAATTTTAAATAGATGGTGTAAGTGTCGATACTGCCGCTAGTCACAGAGGAGTTAATCCAAGTATTGGAGAAGTATCTCTCGGAATGTCTACTAGTCTGAGTTTAGGAAGTGGAAGTCACATGGGAATGATGAGAGATCGAGATAGCGACAGAGAAAGTGCTAGTAATACAGCATTAGCTGGTAGTATTGCAAGTGCCTCTTTAGCTGGAAATATTGCTCACAAGTAAGTTTATTTAATAAATATATACTAGTTTATAAAATTAACAATTCATTGTCATATCTAATATTTAATATACATATATGCATTGGACAATTTTTGTTAAACCAAAAGCAGTTGAGACTTCTAGTTGATAATTTGTAGCTTGAAGATTGTATGTGTTTGTTATTAAATATTATAATGCTCAAACTCTTTTTATTCATTAAAAAATTATTATTTTATAAGAAATTTGTGAAGTTTATATATNTCTATTCATTTGTGTAGTTTTTCAAAATGATTTTATTTTGCATATTTAACTACCATTTATGGTTAAGAAATGAAAAGTATATATTTTATTGTTGTTACTTTTGTACATCAATTTATTCTTGTAGTCAAAAAGAAAACAGTGTCGTCTTCAAACTCCAAATACTAGTTTATTTTTTATTCTAAAATTGCAATGTCAAATTTTACAAATATCTTTCCAATGTTTTTAATTAACTGATACAACTCTTTGAATATTTTTTTTTATAAAGGAATACATTTAAAAATAACAAACTACAAATTTTTACTAATTCATATATAAAATTTGAAATTATTCAATAATGTTGAAATATATTCTACACTTCATAAAATATAAAATAACTGCATCATTTAAATTGTATGAAATTATTATGAAAGAAGTAAATTTAAATTGATTATTAAACAAGTTAGAGTTATTTTCAATATTTTACTTTGTGTTATTTGAGAAGTTTGTAATGTTGTTAAAAATAGTAGTTTTTAATCTTAAAATTAAATGTCATGAAAGTCATTTTAAGAAATTTTAAATAGATGGTGTAAGTGTCGATACTGCCGCTAGTCACAGAGGAGTTAATCCAAGTATTGGAGAAGTATCTCTCGGAATGTCTACTAGTCTGAGTTTAGGAAGTGGAAGTCACATGGGAATGATGAGAGATCGAGATAGCGACAGAGAAAGTGCTAGTAATACAGCATTAGCTGGTAGTATTGCAAGTGCCTCTTTAGCTGGAAATATTGCTCACAAGTAAGTTTATTTAATAAATATATACTAGTTTATAAAATTAACAATTCATTGTCATATCTAATATTTAATATACATATATGCATTGGACAATTTTTGTTAAACCAAAAGCAGTTGAGACTTCTAGTTGATAATTTGTAGCTTGAAGATTGTATGTGTTTGTTATTAAATATTATAATGCTCAAACTCTTTTTATTCATTAAAAAATTATTATTTTATAAGAAATTTGTGAAGTTTATATATCTTTAATTTTCAAAACAGTCTAATGTCAATACAGTACAGTTATTAACATTTCTGTTATGCATTGCCTTCTATTATATGATAATCTCTTAGTACTATCTGATTTATAATGGGGTGTTATATCTCATTATGATGATCTTATTTTAATATTTTGGGATATATCTATTTTGTCTTATTTTTAACAAGCTATGTTGTTATTTTCAAATATTATTAGGTAAAAGTTAAGTTTGAACATTAGATGGCTTGAAAATATCTACCCTGAATAAAGCATTCAGAGTAAGTGTCTGTATTCCTGTCTCACAGGGAGTCTTAAGTGCGGCACGAAGGGCATATAAACACTAAGTAAACCACATAAAACACCTGACTAATGTATAAGAGTGGAGATCACCCGGTCCAAGTAGGACCTCGAATAAAGCATTCAGAGTGTGAGACTAATCGGGATAGGACGTTTAAGAGTTCTTGACTCTTCTACCTATTACTCGACTCGAGACCTTGAGGTCCGATCTTGCTTGTCGAAAGGATGGGTTCTTTTGAGCGGAAAGGTTTTAAAGTTAAGGATCGTTAGATCCTTATTTCACGTCAGGATCTGACACTAATCTATCAATTTCTTAGTGGATAGATATGTGTTAGATTGAGGACAAAATTATCATGAGCGATCTCGTCGAGAACTTTGGGTTCAGTATGGAGGTGATAATACCGGAAGAAACACACACCAATCCAAGCTCATTAACATTATACCTGTTTATTGTTGAGCATTTTTACGTAGATAATTAACTAGGGAATCAAGGTTACAGTTTCCTCTCGGGATTTTCACTCCATAATTCATAAGTTTCGGGGTTGATAACAGACAAAATATATATTAGTTGCAACCCTAACCGCGAGTTGGAAATATTCAAGAGAGAGCTTACATATTCTCGCTAGTGGAATAAATACCTCTAGTTATAACGTTGATTTCGGGTTGATCCGAGTTCTCGTTCTTCCCAGGGTTGTAATTCAGTCCAAAGTTCGTAGTTGAAGTTCAAAGTTGTACTCAAAGTCAGAATTGTAAAGTCTATCTAAGACGATGGCGAGGAGAGGCAGATAATCCACACATACACAGTATAGAAAAATAACTTCCCCTCCTGTGTCGTCATCGCACTTGCCTTTTATACGGGGCTCTCTTTTTGAGATTTCCCCATGTACATCACAGGGGATGATCTTTGACCAATAGTGGGCGAAGTGACAAAATTATGACACAACAGTTAACTCATCTTTTACAAGGAAGTACCCCCTTGGGAACAGAGTTTTATGAGCAATTTTTATGAGAAAATTTTGTCGGTTATTTTTCTCTTTTTGGGTTAACCCTAACTTTTATAAAATCGTTTTAGTTTTGAAACAAAACAGTAGACGAAAATGAATAAAAATATTCAAATCTCAGCCTTCTTAAATCCGGGTCCTCACAAGAGTAAGTGTCTGTATTCCTGTCTCGCGGGGGTCTTAAGTGCATCACGAAGGACGTATAAACACTAAGTAAACCACGTAAAACATGGTGGCAGTGGATAATTAAGCCAGTGAAGGAAACGAAGCTTAACGAACACGTCAGCTTAGTTAAACAAGTAATCAAACACTTCATTCAAAGGTTGATGCTGCGGTAGACAGACAGTCTCCTTGGTATATTAATATAACAATTACTTTAAAGCAACAGAAATAAATATATAATTTATTTAAAAAGTGAGATGAATAGTTTAACTCCTCTGGAACCTTTTTCCATGGACACATCAAATCCAGAAAATTGGAGTTTATGGAAGCAACGATTTGATATTTATGCAACGGCAATAGATTTACCTGCAAAAAGTATTCCACAGCAGAAAGCCATCCTGCTCCATATTATTGGAGAGAAAGGCTTAGAAATATACAATAATTTCCATTTAGAGGAAAATGCCACGAATCTGACAGTGGATGAAATCTTAGCTAAATTTACGAACCATTTCCAGCCATATAAGAACATTATTAGTAGATATGTATTTTTCTCGCTTGTACAGAAGCCAGGACAAACTGTAGAATTTGTAACAGAGCTACGTACAAAAGCTCAAGGATGTGATTTTGGCACCCTAACAGAATCTCTCATAAGAGACAATAAAACCTATACATGATGGGATGTTACGAAAGTCATGTTTAGAATCTACGATCTTTAAAACATATAATTCAGCAAAAATATCCCATGCAACTAAAAAAATTTTTTTGCAGACCTGTGTTATTATTAGATGACCCAATTTCTTTTGAGGTGCTAGTCTGTTTTGGATTCTTTACAAAATAATAAGGCCACCAGTCTAGATAAAATTAAAAATGAGGTGGTAAAATCTTTCTTGTAATATTTTGGTAAATTTGGTAACAATGTTTCATGATTTTAAGTTAAACTGATTTTCTTCCTCTTAGAAGTGCATTTAAAAATTTTATATAAGAAAGGTTCCAAATCTGTGTCAAGTAATTATAGACTAATATCTTTAATTAATAGTGAGGTTGCAGCCAAAGTTTTCAATGCAAAAACGTGAACATTGGACATTCAGCGCCGCCATCCTGTAAGCCTAGAAGTTTGACAATGGTGTTTGGAACATCGGTAGAATCATTCTTGATGTTTGAAATGCCATTGTCAAACTTCTAGGCTTACAGGATGGCAGCGCTGAACATCCAACATTCACATTTTTGCATTGAAAATGTCAGCTGCAACCTCTCTAATGTATTTAGAAAAATTTTTTCTTCTATTTTGGTAAACTGTCTAAATCTTTGGATTGAAGAATTTAATGTTATATCCCTAAATCAGGGTGCTTTCTTTAAAAACAGAGGAGTTGGCTATAATCTTTTTATTCTACAGGAAATTAGTCAGTCAGCATTATCAAGAAAGCACCGTAAGTTGTATGTAAAATTCATTGATTTGAAAAAGTGTTGATTCTATAGATTATGATAGTTTATAGTGGAAACTTGCTAAGTGGAGCATCTCCAATTGATTTATTAATTTACTTAAACAGCAATTTTCTAACACTAGTTATGTTATTGAGGAGGATTTTATCAGAATGGATTGTTAGACTTCAAATAAGGGATTACCTCAGGGTAAACCAGAGTCCTGTTCTCTTTAATTTATTTATAAATGATCTTCCAGATTTTATACACAAAAAAAGGAATTATGGGTATAGCATTATTCACACAGATTGAGTTGGACTGACTTTTATTTGCGGATGATATTATATTGCTATCTAACTCAGTTGTTTCCTTTCAATTGAAGTTTAACTTTTTAGTTGAATATTGCAAAAACAATAGATTGACAATTAATGAAGATAAATCCAAATTACTGATTTTTCACAGAGGAAGAAAACTTGGAAAGGCTGATAACTTCTTTTTGTTGGATAAGAAATTTGAAATAGTGTCTCATTTTAAATACTTGGGTATTCACTTTTCTTCTCTAAGTTCATTTTTATTTCATTTTGAAAGGGTTTTGCTAGATTCTAAACAGAAAATGACAAATATAATGAAATAATTAACAAAAATGAAGATGTTTTCTGTCAAGAATTATTTTAGACTTTGATTCAATAATTAAATTGAGTGTAAGTTGTGTGTTTCCAATTTGGGGTTTTAGTTTTGTGGAAAAACTAGAAAAGGTTCAATTATGGTTTTTTAAACTGGATTTTTCATTTAAACCGTTTAGTTTCTGGATCCCTAATAAGATATGAACTGAGCAGACCACTTTAGTAATTGGTCTTCATATGAATGTGTTTCGTTTTTGGTTTAAAATTCTTGATTTTGCCTGAATGTGACTTTAGAAAATTAGTTTACAACAAATTGATAGTACAGCAATCATCTTCTGTTGACTTATGGTCAAACATTATTAAATATTGGTTGGAGGAGATCTCTCTTGCTGGGATTTTCATATGCTTATCAATCTCATGTATCAGATGATGATGATTTTTCTGCCGAATTATTACAAGCACTAAGTGATAAATATTGGTTGCAAGATAGGATGCATATTAGTTAGAAATATAATTGATTTGGTACTTTATCATTTTCATGGTCTATACATAATTATTTACTGTCAAATCTGAATTATAAGATTAAATCTTCAATAATACAGCTTAGACTAAATGCATATTCTATTTCTTTTAATGCTAAAAAAATAAATATCATGAAAAATACAAGATGCTCCTGCTGTAATTTGCTTGTTGAGGATATTAAGAAAGCATATTTATTTCTTGTAAACCTTTAGAATATCTAAAGGAATCTTTGTTGGGACATGAATTTCATTTTTATTCATTGCTTGAGAATGATGTAAGTTCCTTAACATTGTTTAAAGTGTATAAATTTTTTTAAGATTCATTAAATTTCTTACAACATAATAGTAACTACTAATTTTGTTTACTTTATATATTTGCATTTGTCATGTTATGATATAATGATGATGATGATTATTATTAACATATAAATATCATATTATCATATATATTAATGTGTGTGTACCAATTATTTCCCCCCTTGTGAAGATGCAAGTCAAATCAATAAAGATATATATTTTTGTTATATATAGATAAAGATGTGTATGTGTATATATTGGTATATAATATATTTTAATCATATTTAATCCATAAATTAGTGGGATGCAGTTTCATTCATTATGCAAATGAAGTATGGGAAGTGTTGAGATGGCAGGTGAAGTTTAACATAATTTACCCAAAATTCAAAATAACTGAAACAAAATGGAAAATAAATAATATAACTAAATATAACTATAAATAAAA